CTTGTTGCAAGTGTTGGACTTTATCTTTTTGTTTCATATGTACCTATTTCTCTTGTATCTTTTGTTTTCCTTTTGAACTGTAAGAATTTGCTATGTATAGGTTGCTCTAGTAGACATGATCCCTGTACAGCTCTTTTTGTAATCATGTAAACTCTTTTTACAATGCAAATTCTTTCTGTTCTGTTAACTTTCGGTACATTCTTTTTCTATATTTATGCTTGTGCTATTAATGCTGTTTGTGGTTGTTTCTTTTTGTTCTTCATGATGCTCTCCAGGTTGCGCAGTCCAATTCAAGTTTGGGGGGTTTTGTATTAAGATGTCGTTTCCTCCCCCTGGGTATTGTTGTTCTTTTTTTTTTTTTACTCTTTGTCATTTTTGTCTCTAACTTACATCCATGTCCCACATTGAGGACACTATGTAGTTTAAGTTTGGGGGTGCATCAAAGCATTCTTGGCATAGTTTTGGTATCATATTTTTGTAAAGCAATGATAGTGTAACTTGGAACTTGTCGGAGACAAAGTATATGTTTAATACCTTGTGTATAGAAGCAATTGAGAAATTTTTGAAAATAAAGAAATTTGAATTTGATGTGATCATGCAAATACAATATAGTCTGTATAAATGCCTCAATTAGATTCTTGCTGGATTTACACTCTTATAAGCTTCACAATGCACAGATGCACATTGGAAACTTAACTGTGAGGCATGCAACTTGATTGACCTTGACCTTGGCCTAGTTAATCTGATTTGATGAACCTGATAGATGGATACCTTTGGCATGTTTCTATTAAAAAAATAAAAATAAAAAAAAATAAATAAATAAATTTGACCAGTTGACGTTCGTAGCCTTTCCAACTCGAGCTATTAAGCCCTAGGAGTGTCTCTACACTTAGCACCATAAAGCCGTCTGGTTTGGGAGTTGTTGGCCTAACGCTTGCTACAAAGGTTGGTTAGAAAGCTTAAGGGACTTAAACATTGCAGGGTCATTCAAAAAAAAAATTGTAATAAACATGGTTCGTTGGAGTTCGTAGCCTTTCCAACTTGAGCTATTAAGCCCTAAGAGTGTCTCTACACTTAACACCCTAAAGCCATCTGGTTTGGGAGCTGTTGGCCTAACGCTTGCTACATAGGTTGGTTAGAAAGCTTAAGGGACTTCAGCATTGCACAACCATTCTATGTTTCGCTTATGAGTTGCAATAAATTGTCAACAAGCAACAAAAGTTGTCTTGTAAATAAAATCATGCCTTAGGGACCTCATTTAAAGGGGAATTCAATGATTTGAAAACTTGTGCTGTGGAATTGGAAAAGAAAGTAAAAGCCGCATGTTGAGAATCCAATTCACTTTCACTGGAGTTTGAGTTATTTCCATTTAAGAGATGACAATTGAATTATTTATATGGACTATGATGTTGATGCATGCATGTTGAAATGGTTGTTCCCAATTTTTGTATCAATGCTTCATATATGCAAGGTAGTCTTCCCAATGATCCCGTCTCCAGCTCTTTATCTGTTTCAAGTTGTATTTGAGCTATGTTTATGTTTATATTTGCCATGGTGAATATTTTTGTAATAGTATTCCCATGTTTTCATTCCATTGAGCTTTGCATTTTGGTTTTGCTAAGGGACTAGCAAAATGTAAGTTTGGGGGTGTGATAAGCGCTGAATACTGTATATTCAAGCGCCCTAAATTACATTAACAAAGTCCATTTATTGATTATTTTATGTAGATTAACTCCATTTGCATGTTTTTATGCATTTTCAGGTTAAAGTACAAAAAGGAAGCAAAAATGATGCCTTGTGGAATTTTGAACAAAAAGGGTGCCATTTCTGAATTTCTGGCAGCAGTGATCTTGACTTTTGTCGCCATTTTCGACCTAGCAAACTCAAGAACTGGACTTCCATCATAACATGAAAGATTTAGATCTCTGAATCAGCTTTCCAAATCTTCAAGCGGTTAATCATTCGGAGTTCGGAGCAGAGAGTTATGATCTTCTTAACAGAGGTGCGCAGAACTGCCTGGCAGCACTGAAGTACTGCCTTTCTCCCCATTTTCGACCAACCAGACTTGAGAATTGGGTCTTCATCAAAACATAAAGTTTTTAAAGCACTGAATCAGCTCTCCAAATCTTCAAACAGATCATCATTCAGAGTTCAGGGCACAAAGTTATAGCAGTTTTACCAAAGTATGTCAGCGCTGAGCAAGAAGAGCATGTTGCACATTACACTAATTTAGAGTGCTCGAGACCACTTTTCGAGTGCTCGAAAATCAGGCAGATTGCACTCGGAAATGGCTCAATTTCAGCCACTTGCACATTGGTTTCCTCAATGCCATCTTCCTTCTTTATGAAGTGGTTGGAGGTGTTCCTTGGAGGAGAGAGAGGGTTTTGTTGGAGAATAAAAGGCTACCAAAGGCCACACATTAGGAGGCTGGAATTTTGGCAAGATAGAGGGGAGAGAAGAGAGCAAGGAGGAGAGTGTTCTTGAGTGCTACAGTAGAGCTCGAAAATGAAGTGGTATTCTTCTTCTTCTTCTTCCATTTTTGTATCAATGGAGAGCTAAACCTCTATCTAGGGAGGTGATGAAGCCTCCCCTTTTGTTCATGTTCTAGATTAGGTTCTATTTTGGGGATTATAATGTATAAACTTTGGTCTTTTCATAGTTTAAGAGCTTATTACTTCTTGTAATGAATATTCATGTTTAAATGATTGATGTGAGTTATTTAGCTTGTCTTGATGATTCTTACATTAGTCTTATTGCTTTTATTTTTATAGTGACAATGAAGATATTAACTATGAATGGTTTTCAAGGCATGTTGATTTTGAAACTTGATATTCCATTGCTTAGGTACCTCCTTTGATGGACTATGCTTGATTCTTACCTTCATGTGCTTCATCATTTGATTGAATGCTTGATGGTCTTTTGCTTAAGTTAATGTATTTGATACTACACCCTAGTCTAGGTAGTCCAAATGTGTTGTCTTTTGATAGACCATTCTTGTTTTAATCTCATGAACTTTTTATTGGTTATGAAGCAACTATGTGTTGCTACATAATTCTTGATCATTGCTTATATAGTGTTTATCCCCAATTTAGTCTTGATTTAGCATGTATTTAGGGCGTAGGTGGATTCACTTCCCTAGTTTCCCCTTTTATTATCTCTAACTCTCATTTACTAGCACTATTGTTTTATGCACATTTGAATTCCTAGTTTAGTGACAAACAAAACAAACCCTCTATGAACACCCCTTATCACTCTAAAATGACTCTAGACACTTAGGTTGCCATAGATTAGTGCAGTCCCAGTGGTTCGACTTACCCGACCAATAGCCCTATTTTACAATGATTCGTGCTATTGCGAAAATTGATGTATAGTTGATCAACCGATCAGTCACGATAATCACGAGTATGAAGATGACCAAACCTTCAGTAGCCATTCATGGTTATTCCTCCGTAACTGTAGCCATACTTCCACGGTGAATAGAACCGTGAGCACCGAGATGAGCTTTACAACGGAAACCCAACTCCGGCAAAACACCGAACAAATAGCGACCCAAAACAGAGAGCTTAAACGCTCTAGTTCTGACGGTGATGAGACCCACTTCATGATTCCGACCAAGTTTTTGTATAGAGAGAAGGGGAACAAACCCATGTATTCAATTTCAAGGCCAACATAATTGAAACTAACCCTTGGACACCGCCGTTGCCGACAACAAACAGAAGGTCTTGCATGTCCTTTATATCGCGATGGAGATGACACACCACCATCTTAGGGTTTTATGCTGTTGGATCTTCAAATCAAGGTTAAATTGAAGAGAGAGAGAAGACGGGGTGAACCACTAACCCTTTGTTGTGTTTGTTTTAGAGAGAGAAAAATAGGGGAGAATGAGTTGGGTTGCAGATAGAGAGAGTATGGATGGAGTGAAAGTGTTAAATATGGGTATTTTTGTACTTTTAAAAAATATTTTAAGTTTTAAATATAACATTAAATAATAGTAAGGTCAAATTTGTCCTTTGGTAGCTAGTTAACGGGTCGGATATGGATATTGGGGCAATGTGATCACTTTTTAAAGTGTGGGGAATTTTATGAAATATGTTTGGGGTTTATGATCAAAATTTGAAAGTAATGGGGTTTTATGAAATTAGCCCAATATTTTATTACTAATATTTAATATTTATTTATATATATTTTTAATCATTTGGATTTAGCGGGGAAACTCATGTACCAAAATGTTACGAGATTGCAAGGGACATATTTTAAAGGAAAAAGTGCAAAAAAAACCACTAAACTATTGGCAAATTGCAACTAACCCCCTGAACTACAAAACCCCCCCTGAACTATGAATTTGTTGCATTTTACCCCACCACGTCAGTTGTCGACGCCCAAAAAATTGAAAGACCAGTTTACCCTTTAGAAGACGACATCGTTTTAACTTGAGCCTTACCAATTTTTTGTTTTTTTCCGTGACAACACTTCGATCAGGATTGACTTGTGCACTTCAGCAAACACAACCCAAATGGGCCAAACCACAGCAAGCTAGAGAGAGAAGAGATGCGAGAGAAAACTGATGGCAATTAAGGTTGCAAACGAGCCGAGCCAAGCCGAGTAAGGTCTTGTTTGAGCTTGGCTCGATCATGAAACTATAGTGCTCGAACTCGGCTCAAGCTCGACTCGAGCTCATTTGGTAGTGCTCAAGCTCGACTCGTCCATTATTAATGAAGTTCGAGCTCGGCTTGATAGCTCGTTAGAGCCTGGTTTGATAGCTCGTTCAAGCTTGAGCTCGTTCAAGCTCGGCTTGAGATTGATTATTTTCAAAATGGCCTTTAAAAATTAATACAAACAACCTTTTTTCTTTCATTCTATTTTATTTTAATTATTTTGGTAGGTAATATAATTTTATTATAAAATGTAAATATAATACAAATAAAAGTTTCTTATTTCCATTTGCAAAGCAATGAATAATATCAAATCTTATCAAACCTAATTGACGTAAATATCTTAAATAAAAATATTAAGCAAAGCTATATATTACGTAAAATGGAATCATACAAAGAAACAATTCAGCACAATTATAGCCAGAGCATACCCCAAGCATTTTCTTACATATTAGAAAAGTAACATTACAAGTATTTAAAGAGCCATCCCCCTATACATCGTGAACCTGCTGGGCATAAGGTAACATTAGAAGTATTAAGAAGGGCATTTCTCTGCACCATGAACCTGTTAGCCATACCCTTGCCAACTATAAGCTCAAATCATACCCCTACCAATATCTTACAATCTGCAAGAATAAGTAAATCAATTTTTTTTTTCCCATAAAATATGACTTCTTTAGAAGTTGAAGATTTTTTTAAAATAAACTCATACAATTCTTACCAATGAACCAAAAGAAGTGGATAGTCATTACAAAAGATAACCACCGGCAGTCTTAGGAGCAGCACATGGATAACCAAAAAAGCCACCTCAAGAAGCCAATCTTACTACAACCAAAACTACCAATTCCCTGCAGAATACAGTGATAAACAATGGGCATCAAATTTCATTCATTGTAGTCTGTTTAGAAGCACAAGTATTGAGAAATAATTTTGAATAGACTAGCATGTTTCTTACCAGCGAACCAAAAGAGACATCCCAAAAAAATAGATAGCCATTTTCCCAGCTGGGGCAAAACACATAGAAACCAACAACAAATGTACAATAGTACCCAACCATAAATAAAAGTTTATATTTTGTCCAATTATATTAACATTCATTAACTTCTGATTTTAGCAAGGGAAAAATGATTTAACTTTGCAAAAAAAATAATTTCCCTTCATTCAAAAGTACCAAAAAGTCTTCTAGCAAAAAAACTTCAACCTGCACATTGAATTATATCTCACTTAAACCATTTTATACCAATTATAGGGATATGGACATATATATAATGAGCATGTAAGTACCTGCAACTTGTCATTTTGGGATTGGTAATTCAATAACAGCTCCAGTACCTTTTTCACTCTACATTAAGAAGCGATATATTGTTAGACTTATCAAATGATATAACCAAAAAAAAAAAAAAAAATGAAGTAAACAATAAAAAAGGACCAATAGGCACTTATTTTTGCCAATTTTTTTATTCCATAAAAATTACGCACCCAATCTGCACCACAAACTAAAGCTTGTATAGTTTTTGTAGACAAAGACGAACAATAAGTATCAATAACTCTACCTCCAACGCTGAAGGCAGATTCTGAAGCTACTGTAGTGATGGGAATGGACAGGATATCACTTGCCATCTTTGACAAAATGCGAAACTTGAGGTTGTTAGCCTTCAACCATTCTAAAGCATAAAAGTGTGAAGCTGAATTCCCATTACAAATGAAGACACCGCCTTCAAGATATATATCAAGTCCGATTTTGTAGGTTGAATATTTTCAGTTCTTCTAACAAATAGATCAAACTCATTTTTGCCACTTGAGTTGCTATTTCCCTCCGAAGTACCAATCCCACCATCACTAGAACCACCCTCTTGAGCTTTCACATACAGACTTTCTATGTTGTTACTTGAAGAATAATTAGTAACATAATCGTTGAAGATTTCATATAACGCCTCACGAATTGAGGTGATGTGTTTAGATGCTTCAATCTCATTGTAGATCTTAGGAAATCAAAATTCAATCAGCTTCATCTTGTATCTTGGATCCAAAATAGCACCAATGGCCATGAGGAAATTACAATCACCCCAATACTTGTCAAACTTCTTCTTTATCCTATCAGCCATTGCTTGAATATAAATATTTTTATTAATAGACTTTTGATCCAATAATTATTTTACCCTCAAAATTTCAGTCATAATTAAGTTTGATGTTGGATAGTCACTTCCTGATATAATTTTTATGACATATTCAAACACTCCTAAAAACTTACACACTTCTTCCGCTCTCTCTCAGTCAACAAAAGATGGCAACCACCGGTAACTTGGATCCCTATCATGATACCTTGGAAAAACTTCCTTATACTTTATTGTTGTAGCTAACATTTCATAAGTTGAATCCCAACATGTTGGAACATCTAAAATCTATTTTTTTTCAGCTGGCTGTAGTTGTTTCACAATTTCTGCAAACTTCAATAGACGTGCCTTTGACGCTTTCAAGTACTTCACACTCTCACGAATGTTCTCAATGACAGTGGACTTTCATCCAACCCATCCTGCACAATAAGGTTTAATATGTGTGCACAACATCGTACATGAAATATCTTTCCACTTAAGAAAAGTCCGTCTTTCAAACAAAAGTTGTCTTTTAAAATCCTCACAACTGCATCATTGTTAGTTGCATTGTTAAATGTTATACTTGACACTTTGTTTTCAATTCCCCAATCAATTAAACACTGAGAAATAACATCATATATGACGAGTCCAGTGTGTGGAGGAGGCACGTCACAACAGCTCAAAATACATATTTGTAGCTTCCAATCAAAATCAACGAAGTGGCATGTAATGACCATATATCCAATTTGTTGTTCAGATCTTCAGCAATCTCCCTGAGGCTAACTCTGTTGACATCCTTTAAAAATCCTTTCAATCTTATCTTTTCAAATTCATAAGTAGCCATGCAATCATTTTTCAATGTGGTGCGTGAAATCTTTTGATAATATGGAGCTGCAGTTCTCATAAATTCATTAAACAACTCATGCTCCATCATATTAAATGGATATTCATGCACAAAGACCATATGAGCTGCAACTTCCCTAACTCTTGTATGGTTATACTTGAAATTTGTAAGATTTCCTTCCCCTTTGGACCCAAGCTTGTTTGCTGACAGTATCTTTTGCCTCTTATCAAATAGTTGGCAATGTGGACAAACATTCAAGTGTCGATGAAATTGAGTGGTAGAACCCTTGTCATTTTTTTAGAGTCGAGCTTTGCAATAGATGCATCTTGCCTTTAAAGAACCATCCGCAAGAATAACATCCTCAAACTCTTTCCAAACAAGAGATGTTCTCTTCCTTTTGGCTTTTTCAAATGCTTTGCTCAGCTCATCAGCCTCATTACCCTCAATATTAATGATTGGAGTCTCATTTTGCATATTTTCAGACATTCTAATGTAGCATCAAGAATATGCAACATCAAACAATTTAGAGTTAATAAAGAGAAACTATAATTTTTTTTTTGCAAAAGAGAAACTATGAATAGAAGAATTTTCAGACTATTTAATAAAGAAATTGAGAGATACGTTCAAATTTTCTTAAAAAGAAAAAACCCTAACTCTTTCAAAGAAAAAAAAAAATTGTAAATTTATACATAAAGGTTCAATAAATGAAGAGATAAAACAAAAAAAATAAAAAATAACAAATCAGTAAGAATAAACACCTATTTTATGTAAAGATATTTGAGAGAAAAGATAAACGAAGTAAAAAAAATTGACTTACAAAGAAGATGATCGGCATTGTTGTCGGGCAAAACGAGCAACCGAACCAGTTGTGTGAGCAGAGAAATTGAGAAAGTAAGATTCCCTGTTTGACCCCCTGATTCGGACACAAAATCAATGATTCTGCAACGGATCTTTCCACCTATTTTTGCTAAAGGGATAGGGAAGTAATCAAGCAAATAAACTCATCTTGAGAGCCAAAAACATGAGTGACCCTCGGAGGTGAGTCAATTTCTTCAGTCAAATGGTAAAATCATGAATATGAGATCTCAGATCTGAGAATTGAAGAGTGAGAAGTGGGTTTCAATTTTTGTTGTGTATCAGTGCATCACGTGGATATTCAGACTGAGACAGCCTAAGTTTTTGGACTATGATGAATGTGGGCTGATGAGAAAAAGGGTGTGTGGATCACATGGGTGATGGGTACTGGTGGCAGGCTAGTAACAAGTTTAAAAATTGAGTACTCCAATTTTTAGACTATGAAGTCTATAATGGCATGGTGGCAGATTTAAAAAACGTTCAATACTTTTGTGTGTGTGTGTGTGTGTATATATATATATATTATAATCGAGTATGTTAATGAATGCATTATCTATGTTCATGAATGTATTATCGAGCCAAGTTCGTGAACGGTTCATGAACAAACGAATTGAGCCTATTGATGTTCAGACTCGGCTCGTTTATAAATCGAGCCTCATAATTCGGCTCGAGCTCAGTTCACTTATTCATGAGCCGAGCCCGAGCCGTTCGTGAACGGCTCTGCTCGTTTATAGCCCTAATGGCGGTTCATGGTGGCGTGACTAGATAAGCCCAAAAATCGTCATCACTGGAACCACCACGTCCAAGGCGACAAGAGGAGCCCAAAAATCGTCATCGGTAGCACAGAGGCGTACAACGTTGGCAATCCAGAAGAAGATGATTTAGAGGTCTGTAAAACAATTAGGTTTGTTTGTGGTTGAGGTTAAAATTTGCGATTGGGTTTGCTTGTGATGGCGACGGCGACGAACTCGGCTGGATTGAATCGGCCGTGGATGATGGCTTAAATCTGCCGTGGAAGAACTACGGCAGTGAGCTCGCTGGCGTGATTGGCGCGGCGGGGGGAGACGGCGTAACTAGCGCAGCGGTGGGCGACAGGCTCGAAATTGATGGTAGCGAGGATGGGCTAAAGGTAGCGAGGACGAAACTGATCGATGGCGATTCGCAGCGGCGTGACTGGTGCAGCGGCGGGCGACGGGCTTGGCTGCGGTGGCTCAGATGGTGAAGAGCTCGGCTGTGGTCGGCGAGCCAGGGGGCTTCTGTAACTGGGTTGCTATTCTTTTTTTTTTTGGCTTGGCTTTGTAATTAATTGGTGGTGATGATGATTGGTGGTGAGGGGTGAAGGTCTGCTAATTGGGGTTGCAATGGTAATGATTTGGGTTTGGTTTTGCAGAGAGCATATGGGGTTTTTTATTTTTTTTTCAATTGGGGTTGACTTTGTGATGGGGATTAGTGGTGATTGTGGAGGTTTTGGGTGGAGGAGCGGTGATGGTTTTGGTTGAAGGTGGTGGTTACCAATTTGGAATAGGGTGATGGGTGGTGCCTGCCGTCCTAAATCCTTCTCTTTATCCCTCAATCCCATGTTACAGACTGTGGAAGGGCATTATTGTCCAAAAAAATTAGTTTGTCTGTTGCGTGATTCTCGTGCTTATTTTTGGATGGCTGGTAGCCAAATAAAGTGATTTGCAACAAATTTGTATAATTCAGTGGTTTTTTTTGCAATTTTGATAGTTTAGGGGGTGAGTTGCAAATTTTTCAATAGTTCAGAAAAAGGGTTTTTTTTTGCACTTTTACCTATTTTAAAAAACTAATCCTAAACACAAAAAGTTTTATGAACTTATTATAAAATTTTAATATATAACAAAAAAATTCTCAAAAATTAATTAACTAAGGGCTTGTTTGGTAGCTGCTTCTACCACATGTTTTTTGCTTTGGGCCAGTTACTGTAGCGAAATTCTGGCCCAAAGCATGTTTGGTGAAAACTGCTACGCATCCAAATAGTGCTAAAACACTTTTGAAAATGGCCTATTTTTAGAAGCATCAAAATGATGCTTCTTGTTGCTTCCAGAACTATAGTGGTAAAATGCTTCCTGCATTATAGCCCATTAGTGGAATCATTGGGCCCACAATACTTAAAGCAATTATTCCATATCCAGCCACAAATGTTGAAAGCAAACGAGAGCAAACCCTAGGGCGATTCAGAGGCGATTCCAATGTGCACCGAGCTTCAACCATCCCGTCGCTACAAACAACGTTTTTGCAGGCTCCGATCAGTAAACATAACTCCATTATGTTCTTGTTCCTCTTCTTCTTCGTCTTGATGGTAATTTTTTCTTATTTCGTGTTGGTTTTTTTGCTTGGATCTGAAACCCTAGTGCTGAGGGTTTCAATTTTGTTCTTTGGATGAGTTTTTTGTCATGTTATGTAACATTTTGGGTCGACTTTGTGCTTGGATCTAGAAACTGTACTTCAAAAATTCAAGTATGTCACTTCGATTCAAATTTTACTATCTTGTGTCTTATTTTTTGTTGAATTTGTGCTTGGATCTGAAAATCGTGCTTCGGTATTTCGAGTTTTCTTACTTCGTTTCATATTTTATTATGCTATGTATAATTTTGGGTTTATTTCTGTCTTGGATTTGGAAACCCTTCTTCTAAAAAATCTTTTCTGGTACTTTGATTCAATTTTGTTTTATGTTGTGTATAACTTTGGGTCTATTTGTGTCTTCGATTTGGATACCCTATTTTTGAAATAAAATTTTAACTGTTTTTAACATTTTTGTCTCTTCAATTAAATTTTTTGTGTTTGTGTTGGGTTGTTCGTTTATAGAGTATGAGTGTTGCAGTGGCATGACATTGTCATTAGCCTTTAATTCGTCCTAAAAGTAAGAATTTCAACACTACTTCTGAATTTACAGATTTGTGTTGGATAAATTTTTGTTTTTATGTTGTGTATATATTGTGTCTAATGATCTTATTTGTGTTGAAATTACAGATTGGTCAGTTTGATTCAACTTGTAAATTTTTTCGATGTAAAAATCTTTTGTCATTGGTTTTTGAAACTCAGTTTTTGTGTACAACGAAGTGTAAACTGAATTGAAACCCAATTGATCTATTTGTTAAAACTGTTTATCATGCTACCTATATGCAAACTGACTTCCAACTTGTAACTGTTTTTTATTTAAAAATCTTTTCTTTCCCAGTAAGAGTTATAATATATCTTCTTATACTTTTTTTTTGTACTGAACCTGAGTTTTTGTGTATAACTATATGAAAACTAAATTGAAACTGATTGATCAAATTGTAAAATTGTGTATCATGCTACGTATATGCAAAGTGACTTTCAACTTGTAACTTTTTTTCATTTAAAAATATATTGTCATTGGTTACTGAATCTCAGTTTTTTTTGTAGAACTATATGCAAACTGAATTGAAATCCAATTGATCTAGTTGTTTACACTTTTAAATGGTTTACAACACGGTCATTTTTCATGTTAAGATTTGTAGACTATGATGCTGCTGCATGCTTCACACTTGGAACTTTATCTGTTATGGAATTTTATGAACATGTTAAAAATGTCGAGTAAAGTTTTCAGACCAATTCCCTGCAGATGGCTGTGATTGGCATGGTGTTGCCTTGGATAATTTTGTCTAAAGAAGGGAAATATATTAACATCCAAATTTATGCAATTAAGCATCAGTAGGATTGGTTAGCAGTCTCATGAAAGCTGTAATACCCCTAATTTTAAAAAGGATATTCATGGTTTTTTATGGTATTTAATTTATTATTTAAGTGCATTTTATTTGATTATGTGTCATTATTTTTTTTTATTAGGTGCTTAATTGTTTTCTTTTGTGGTGATTTAATTTATTTAAATGATATTTATTTTTAGTTATTTGATTGGAATTACTTGTTAGTGTTTTAATTATTTAATTGGCATTAATGGTTTAAGTGTAATTGGTTTAATTATTTTATGTGTGTCTTATTTTATGTGTGTCTTATTTGGTTTAATTGGGTTTACTAATTATTATTTTGTTCAATTAGATTATTTGTTAAGTATTTAATGGTGAATAGGGTAATTAGGTAAATACATCTAACTAGGGTTTTAATTACAGTATAAATTAGAGTTTTATATTATAGCCGTCGTAGGTTTCTACGTTAATTGGATGGGCCGGTTAGGCTTGTGAGTTGGACTTAAATGAACTTAGGGTTTAGGAAAACTCTATAAGTATAAGGTAGACGTCTGTGTAGGGTTTTTTTAAACAAAGCACACATTTTGTGGAAGTGGAGAAGGAAAAACGCAGTTTTTTCCTTTCTGCCCAGATTTCATCAAACATCCTATCCCGCTTCATCCGTGGTCCGATCAAGCTGAATTTTGGAGGAGAGGTTCACGACTCAGTGACGCACAATCTGAACAGTGATTCGTACTCATGAACAGTAACTGGGTCGCAGACGTCTACCTTATACTTATAGAGTTTTTTTCCCATTCTGCCCAGATTTCATCAAACATCTGATCCCGCTTTGTCCGTGGTCCGATCGAGTTGAAATTTGGAGGATAGGTTTATGACTCAGTGTCGCACAATCTGAACGGTGGAGATCAGATTTTGAGTTCGGGAATAGTGTTTCGTACCCGTGAACAGTAACCGGGTTTTGGAACTCGCCGGGATTTTTTAAGAAGACGACGTTGAAACTTTGAACAAAAGTTTCTGAGGCAAGATTCTATCCTTACTCTTTCCCTTAGGCTTCATACTCTTTGCACTCTTAAATGATTTCAGGATTAATGAAGATTAAACCAAACTAAAATGATATCTGTTTTGCTATGAAACTGGTAGTTACAGTAGTGTTGTATGATTGTTCAACCTAGACTAAGCATGTTTGTGGATGCATTGTGGTTCTGTGGTTCACGTTTTTCCTTACCACTGCTAGTATAAATTATTGGAAGGATGGGTCTAGATGATAGCTATCTTAACTTCTGTAATAGCAACTGTTGGAACTTAAATACTAGGAGGATTTGAGTTTAACACTAGATCGGTTTTGTGGAACACTATAATTTGAGCATGTCTACATACATACTGTGAATATTGTTTTGATACTTACATTATCACAGTTAGTATCAACTGTGGGGGTTAGGAATTTGTGATACATACCCTACATATCTGTATGTCATTTGTAAGGTGTTAAATGGAAGTTTTAATTAATTCTGTCTTTATATCAGACTAAAGGGAACAACTTAAACTGGGCAAGTATATGTTGTTGTTGTGACCCTGTTTATCAATGCTTATTTTATCATTGCTAACATTGAATGTTGGATGTTGGAATTTAGTTGATATATACTTGATTTATTGGTATTTTTGACTACTGGAGGATTGGAAAGTAGGCACCGGTATGGGACGGTAGCATACTAAGGATGGGTTTGGTTTTAAAAACAATACCATTACCCACCTACTTGGA